TTCTGTGTGAAATAGCATATTTTTAAAATGAAATGGAGATCCATTTTAAAACTTAAAACCTCATTCAATTTTAAGTCTTATAGGGTTTATACTGAGTACAATATTGTATAACTGTATTAATTCAATTGTAAACCTAAAAATTTACAGTCAATTTTGAAAGAGATACAGCTTAGCTCTGGAAATTGTTATTGAATATGCCAATGCAGTTGTAATGAAATGTTTCTTCTAATTATGTGGTTATTAAATAATTTTTTAAATTTTTAAAAATTAAAAAAATAGTATCGAATGATATGGTTTATCCTGAAACTTACTTATTCTGTTCAAGATTGTATTTTTGAGATGCAACCATACTGACACATTTAGTTCTAGGTCCGCTCTTCTTCTACATTCCCCTGATGATAAGCACTCAGGGGACTTCTGGCCTTCTGTCATAGGTGGAGCTGTTGTGCTGTCTGGCACACATCTGTGCATCTGAGCAGAAGATAACTTAGAGCACATCTAGCTTGGGACCTGCTGATATACAGGTTTCAGTGAATCTGCTGTTAGGAAATCACTGTCCATTAGCATACAGGAGTCCTCTTTAGCCACATCTCTAAAATCTAATGTTGTAAGATTTCTTCATTTTGGCTACACTTGAAAGGTGGGAAGGGTTGCCTTATTGTGGGTTTAATTTGTATCTCTCTGACTGCAATAAAACTGACTGTAGTTTTTAACCAGCTTGTTCATCAGTGTTTCTTGTGAGTTACAGGATTTTACCTTAGCCCTTTCCTACTACAATGTCTTTTCTTTTTGATTTGTGGGTGTTTGCTTAAGATCTTTAAAATTGTGCATGGGCATGGGGGTGCCAGTGGTGGCCAGAAGAGGGCATCAGCTCCCCTTAGTGCTGAGCTACAGGTGGTTGTGAGCCACCTGGCATGGATGTTAGGAACCAAACTTGAGTCCTCTGAATAGTATGGGCTCTTAACTGCTGAGCATCTCTCCAGCCCAATTTATAGTGTTTTCAATACATTCTAGAAGGTAACCTTTTGTTATCTGCTGATACTGGAAAGATCTCCCTGTTTATGGGATTTTTTTTTTGAGACAGGCTCCCTGTAGCTGGGCTTGAACTCACAGAGATCAGCCTGCCTCTGCCTCCAGAGTGTTGGGATTAAAGGCGTGTGCCACCATACCCAGCCTGTTTATGGTTTTTAAAAAATCTTTTAATAGTCTCTTTTGATGCACAGAAACTTTTACTAGCATAATCAAATTCATTCATCATTGCCTTTATGCTCTGTGTTTATATTTTCTTTAAAGATTCATTTATTTTATGTGTATAAGTATTTGCCTGAATACATGTATATGTGTGTACTATATATATGTAGTACCCACAGGGGCCAGAAGAGGACACTGGAACCCCTTGAACTAGAGTTATAGATTGTATGAGTTACCATATAGATGCAAACCCAGGTCCTCTGCAATCACAGCAAGTACTCTAAACAGCACCTATATTTTCTTTCCTTAATGCCAATCCCTGCCATGAGTTAATAACATGACACTCATGTGAATTCTAAAATTTTAGGTTTGCTTTTCATAGGGAGAATTTAATCCACTTAGAACTGTTGTTTTATAACTGGTACAATGTGGAAACCCAGATCTTTTTTCTCCTTAATGCTGCCATGAGTTAATAACATGACACTCATGTGAATTCTAAAATTTTAGGTTTGCTTTTCATAGGGAGAATTTAATCCACTTAGAACTGTTGTTTTATAACTGGTACAATGTGGAAACCCAGAACCCAGATCTTTTCTTTTAAATATTCATCTTTCCTTGGGAAACAGCTTTATTTACAAAACAGGTCTAAAATAAGAACACGAAGTGACAAGCCTAGGGAAGTGCAGTGCTGGCTCTTGGAGACCCAAGTACGCTGTCCAGGCATCCAGGCAACGGCCTAAGGGAAGGCCAGCTGTGTGAGGGGACCTAGAGTTTGAAATCCTTGCATTTCTTGCTGCCCCCAGGAGTCTGTCCTGGGCTAAGCTTTCTGTTTCTCCTGCTTCTGTCTAGCAGCATGCTCCGCCACCATGTCACTGAAGTCTTCCTTTTCCACTTGTGCCTGTTGCTCCTGCATGCGCTCCTCATACTTCTGGGTCATGACCATGGGGTTCAGCTCCAATTCCTCAGGTGCCAGCGCCACTTCCACACCTTGCAGCTCAGGGGCTGGGCCCTTCCGCCTCATGACTGTGGACATATCATAAATGTGGCTCCTCCAACAGTGGCTGTTCTCTTCTCTGGCAGCACAGTGAACAGCTGAGGTGTCTCACTTCCATCCATCGCTTCCCCGATCTTTCTCTTCCTCAGCTCAATGAGTTCTGGGGTCTCCATTCCAGCTGGCACTGATGAGAAGCTGCCAGGGGTGATGAGGTCATCATCTGCAGGTGTGATGAAGCCGTCTCATCTGGCTTGTCTTCATCACTTTCCTCCTCTTCTCTTCTTCTGAGGACTCTTCGTCAGGTGGCTCCAGTTCCCCCCAAGGGGTCTGGTCAATCTCTTCTTCTTCAGTTTTGGTCTGAAATTCAGCAGCATTGGTTCCAAACGCGTTGCCATAAAGTGGTTTACCAGTCTCATCTACTGGGGTTTGCCCCAGCCACCAGCGTGGGATCCAAGGAACAGCTCTCCGGGATAGGCAAATTCAGCCCAGGGATTTTCAGGTTGGGGTAAGATGGGGGTGGTCCATATCGCTGCATGGCAATCGGCCATGGGGGAGGGACCTTGTGGGCATTTGGTCCTACTGGCATCCCCAAGGAAATCCGCAGCTCATCAGTTGGTCTCCCAGCTTTTCCTCCTTCAGTCTTGTCTCAAACTCCTTCCCCTCATAGGTCCCCATGGATGGTCAGCCTCTTGACACCACTTGAAGAAGGCGTCATGCAGTTTCTGGTAGTCAACATCGGTCTTCCCCATCTTGGGCCGAACCTTCTCTCGAATTTTGGACTTCATGGTCTTTTCTTCCTTCTCCTGGAGGGCCTCCCACATCTCCTGAATGCCTGTGCATTTGATAAAGTCTGGCAGCTCGAAGCAGGTACTTGTGCTTGAAACACCAGTGGCATGGCACAGGAACACAGTTCCGAGAGGCCTTGAGGTGAATTAAGAGCTTAGGGTCTTGTGCTGTCACATGGATCTCCCTCTTCCTCCTGCTGAGAGTTCATCTCTTTCTGACCTCTGTTCTTCAGCTGCAAAATCTTTTCCAATGCCTGCCCGGTCTTGAGACCTACAGAGGGATCATCCATTTCTCTGTTCTCATCTCCAGGGCCCGGCGGGGGGACCCAGAGGCCGAGGAACAGGGTCCCCATTGGCAGGACAGTAGAAGTGAGGCCCACAGGGACTACTGGAGCGGCAACTCGAGGTCCCAGAGAAGTGTGAAAACCAACCTGACCCATGTCTTGTGGAGGTCGTGGGACTGGCGTGCCCATCTTGGCAATCCCCTGCTGTTGCTCCTGCTGCAGTAACAGCTGCCTGTTTGGCACGTTCCTCTTGCATCAGTGAAGCTGCCTGTTGCTGTCTGTGCCAGCTTCAGCTGTTCCTCCTCTGATAGTTCCACAGACTCACCCACACAGAGAGGAGGTGGGGGCCCCAAATTTGGTGGGTGAGCCATGGGAAAGCCAAGGCCAAGGCCTGGTGGAGGTGGTGGGGGTGGTGGAGGAGGCTGTAGAGGGGGGAGTCCCATGGGTGGTGGTGGCATGGGAATTCCAGACAACGGCTTTGTCCCCGACCTCCCCTCTCAAAACAGGCTGATTCAGCACGATGTGGTCTGGCAGGTGTAGGTCTGCAGCCACTCCACCAGCTCCTCGAGACTCCCCTGGATTGGAGCTCTGATCTCTGCCAAATTGGCCTAGAGCTCCTGGGCGGCCCAAGCGCCATAGTGGCCTGGACGTGGCAGTGGCAACTTAAGTTCTCCTTTTGAAACCCAGTTTCAATGTATTATTATTATTATTATTATTATTATTATTATTATTGTGTTTGTATGTGTTATATATGTTATGTGTGGGCATATGCATGCCATGGTGCACATGAGGAGGTCAGAAGACAATTCTGTGTAGTGGCCTGGACGTGGCAGTGGCAACTTAAGTTCTCCTTTTGAAACCCAGTTTCAATGTATTATTATTATTATTATTATTATTATTATTATTATTGTGTTTGTATGTGTTATATATGTTATGTGTGGGCATATGCATGCCATGGTGCACATGCGGAGGTCAGAAGACAATTCTGTGGGGTCCATTCTCTCCTTTTACCTTAACATGGGTTCTAGAGCTTGAACTTGGGTTGTCAGATTTGCATGGCAAGTGCACTTATCAGCTAAGCTGACTCACAAGCACCATTTCCTGTCTTTCTATATGGCTAGCCAAATTGTCCCATGCCATGTGCAATGACAGCATTTATGCTTCATCTGCCGTAAGCGTTTTTCTTTCTTGTCATCATGAACAGTCTTCTTTTTCTTTATCCTACTGTACTAAGATCACTAATACTAGTGTAATCTACTAAAAGTTTTTACTTGGAAGGAGTGCTAGGTTTTCTCTTCTAGTCTAGGAAATAATTTTTATTGACTTTCTAAATATACACAAAGCAGAAGACATAGTGAAATCCCATGGCCTCCTCATCTGTCCCACACACCTGTTTCCTCATCCTGCCAAGTGTGCTTTGCCCCAAGTTTTAATGTTTCTTCCTTGTTGACAACAACCAAGGACTTCCTAACATTAAGTTATCTTGCATTCTAAGAAAAAAAAATGAATTAAAGATATTTTTTCTTTTTTTCTTATTCTTTTCTTTTACTTTTTGAGAGAGAGAGAGAGAGAGAGAGAGAGAGGCTGAGAGAGACTGAGAGAGAGAGACTTGCTCTATAGCCCAGGTTGACCTCCAACTCACAATCCTCATGTCTCACCCTCCTAAGTGCTAGGCTTACAGGTGTGTGCCACTATACCTAATTATGAAGAAAAAGTTTTAGTGTATCTAGAGTTGTCTTGTGGTCTCTTTCCTTCTGGGTGTTTCTGCCTGTTTGTGACTTTTTTTTTATGTTTTCTCATATTGTCCTCGTTTTGTCTTTCATATTAAGGTTATTTTAGCCTCATAAAAAGAGTAAGGAGTTTATATATTCTCAGAAGTAGTCTATATAAAATTGGAATAACTTCTAAATAGAAAATTCACTTGTACAGCTATCTGGACTTGCTGACTTGGGTCTGAAGTAGCCAAGGCCTCCTATTTCTTCTCAGGTCAATTTATTTTTTTCTTCAACATGAACATCCAAAGTGCTTTCAGCAGCCACTGGGCATGTTATCCC